TTCAGAACTCTCCAGCTCATTGTCTGAAACCATTTCTGGTGCTTTATGAAGTCTGCTTTGGGTCATTGTCCTGCTGTAAAACCCTTCACCTCTGACAGAGACCCAACTTTCTGACACTGGGTCCTACATTGTGCCCCAGAATTAATTAGTAGTCTTCAGATTTCATAATGCCATACACACACAGTCAAGACATCCAGTGGCTGAAGCAGCAGAGCAACCCCAAAACACCAGTGAACCTCCACCGTGTTTGACTGTAGGGACATGGTCTTTTCTTTGAAGGCCTCGTTTTGTTTTCTGAAAACAGTAGAATGATGTGCTTGACCAAAAGGTTCTATTTTAGTCTCATCTGACCATAGGACATTCTCCCAGAAGGACGGTGGCTTCCTCAGGTCAGTCACCCTTTGCCTGCAGGTCAGCTTGGTTTTGTTTGGAAGTTGATTGAGTTCTTTATCCACCATTCCAACAATCTTTCATTACAATCTGTCATCTAGTTTTCTCTTTCACCATTGTCCAGGGAGATTAGCCTCAGTACCATGGGCTGTAAACTTCTTATCAATGATGGACTTGAAGCCTTGAGATTGTCCAGGCTTTTCCAGTACTGTGATTCTCAAACCCTTAGGCAATTCTTTGCTCTTCTTTCTTTTCTCCATGCTCAGTGTGGTCCACATGACACAAAGGTTGAGTCAACTTTTCTCTATTTTAACTGGTTGCAAGTGTGATTTCTATGTTGCCAGCACATGATGACTGCTTACAGACATGTCTTCTCTTGCATGTAGTAGTATGTCTCATCTTATCTTATCTTGTCCAATTCTCTGTCCAGCAGTTCATGACAGAGACATGGTCAGACAACAGACTGTCAGTGCCTGTGTATCCGGATGAAGACTACAACATCCCATACAACTCCCCTGCTGCCAACCTCTCCAGTCAGCAGGCCCAGGATCTGGTCTTCAGGGGCAACAAAGTAACACGTCCTTAATTCTTTACTTCCTGCCTTCCTCTGTAATTGTGATGTTGTTAGTTTGGACATAATCAGGTGCAGCATAGATCAGTGATACATTATCAATTTTAGAAAAATGTACTAACACTAAAATGAATAAGGGGATAAAATAAAACTAGTAAACAGTAAATAACAATTAAACCTGGAAAGTGCAATACCCTTCTCATACTCACAGCATTCTTTTATTTATTTATTTTGAGACTGTCTTTAAGTAAACAGCACAAAGTAAACTTACTGTCTGTTCAGAGTCATGGGGCTGGAACCAATCCCTGTATTTACTGGACATGACATGGTTAACAGAAGCCTTACAATAATAGACAGATACCTTATTGTCATATGTACACTGAAAATCTTATATTGCACGCTCATTTCAAGGACCAGTGGGATTAAAAAGAAGCAGTTTTTCAGAGCTTATATGTAGTAAAACATCATCCACTGACCCTGTGTCTGTGTGCATATCCTGTGTGCACTTACAGAAACTGACTGTACTGCAGACTGCATTCAAAGGAATAAGCTTAGTCAGTGGAGCACTTCATATACAAATGAGCTGTGTTATAGCCTATTAGCTGATTTGATTTGATTTGATTTGATTTATTCTTTCAAGCATGTAAAGACAGTCGATATGTCAACACACATAATTTCACACATATCCACAAATGCTAATCCATTTTCAATTTGCTTATACCTAGTACATGCTTGAACGGGGTAGGAAGAAGTTAGACTTATCTAGTCCTACCCCATAACATCATCTTACCAACATTGGTTTGCAAGCAGTATCTCTACATAGATAATTTTGTTCTACACCACACAAGTAATCTCCTAAAAGATTATTACAGATTGTTAACATTCTTACATAATTACATTTTTAGACAATTATCTTCTACACCACACAAGTAATATTCTCAAGAATTATTACATAGTGTTAACATTCTTACACTACACCCACAATGTTCCACCTAATTAATCATTAAACCTGTTCTTGCATATATCTTGATTGACACATACCTTTATACTTATGTTTAAACACATCAATTCTATTACTATTTTTTATGTCCACACTTAAATTATTCCATAGTTTTACTGAACTTATGGAAATACAGAATCTTTATTGTACTTATAGCATGAATTTTATACTTAAAACCCCTTAAGTTATATCCCCCTTCCCTTTCATTAAATAGTTTTTGAATTCCACCAGGTAATAAATTGTTCCTGGCTTTATACATAAACAC